GTGGGTTGGGGTTGGGGTCGGGTGGGTTGTGAGTGAGTGGCGGTTGTGAAAGCGACAATAGTGGTGAGGGGTGGGGGTTAGGTTAGGGGAGGGGTGGGGTAGTGGGGATGGGTGGCAATTATGACGATGACAGTGGTAGGATGGTAGTCGGGTGGATGGGAGTGGATGGGTATAACAACGACAATAGTGGCATGGTGGTTAGTGGTGGGGTGGAGTAGGGTGGGATGGGATGAGTGGCAGTTGTGATAGCGACAATAATGGTGTGGTGGTGGGGGTTAGGTTAGGGGCGTGACAGTAACGGTAGTAGCATGGTCGTAGCAGGGATGTGTTGTGAGTGACCGGGGGTGGGTGAGTGTGATGACAACAGTAATGGCATGGTGGTTAATGGTGGGGTAGGGTGGGTGGCGGAGACATTAGTGGTGTGGTGGTGGTAGTGGGGGGTTAGGGGTGGGGCATCACAAACAGTAGTAGCATGGTCGTTGTGGGAGTTGATGGAATTCAATTCCTTCCATTATGCTAAGGAATGATGAATTCCTTAACTTGTGGAATTCATTGGAATTTGAAGGATTCCATCCATTTCAAGATATGAACCAAACAAAGRAATGDAATTTGGTCAAAGGAATTTATCATTCCAATTCCATCAAATTCCTTCGAATTCCGTGAACCAAACGGCCCCTTAGGGTTTTCTTTCCAATTTCTCACCCATTTTCACTCTCTCGTTTATTGGCCATTTTGGCAACCTTGGGGTCGATTTTGGAAGGTTTAGCATAGGGATTAAAGATCCTTTGGTGGATGGTTTCAAGATCTTAGTGAGGTAAGTTCTTGGGTATTTTCAGCTCCATTTTGGAGATCTTTGTGGATTTAAAACTTGTTTTCATATATGGTTATTTCTAAGCTTGGTTGTGACCTAGATAAGGTTTCTAGACATGTTTGCTCGTGTATCTCAAGTCTTCATCCTTGGAATCTAGAAATGGGGTTAGAAACCAGGTTTAACGTATCCTAGTAAAGTGAGTTTCAAGTTATTTTGTAAAAACTCATTTGGGACTTTTGTCGATTTAAACCCATTTAAAATGTTGTGATTAAGAATGGTTCAACTTTTAAGTCGTTCATTGTTTATCGGGACAATTAGTGCTTATGATTGAGTTTTATGCAATGTTTTGATATTTTAATCATGTATGAGCATGATTTTGTGGAGTTTTATAATGATAGTGATTATTAGGCATTATCACTCTTTTTGGTGCATTTGACTTTTAGAAAAGGCATAGAATCGGGTTGTTTGAATATTTTGGGAACCTAAATCATGTTATGTCTGTCTTGGGATGATTTATCCACTCGTAGCATGACGATTTAGGAAAGATGTTATTTGTGTATTTTGAAAATGATGTATTTTGGAAATATCGTTTTAAAATGTAGACATTCTTTCAATTCTGAAAATTGCATTTTAGAACATTCGTTTAGTTCTATCATTTTATTATTGACAATATAAAATGTTTGAACTCAGTAAGCTTTCAGTCTAACACTTTTTCCTTTCTACATGTGCATCAGGTGGGGGAGCAGTACTAGCGACGCTTAAGAGTTGAGTGCTAGATAGAGACTCGTGAAGACTTAGCTTTTTGGGAAGCATTCCGTACCGTTTTGGAGATAGCGACTATTAGTTTCAGTACTCATGCCCTTATCTTAGTCCTAGTAAAGGGTTTGGTTTGTAAGTTATCGATGTAAATCCTTAAATTGTCATTTTAGGTAATTCGAGTGTTATCCCTTAGAAATGAATTTATACTTCATGTGATGTACCATAAATTTTTTTAAACTACTCGCTCTTTTATAGAATTTGGGGTGTTACATTAACTGATGTTGAGTTTGGACCCATAAACGAACATCGAACTCGGCCATTGAAAAATATTCGAGTTCGAGCATTATTTCGAAAAAGCTACTCAAGCTCGCCCCTGATATAATTTTCTCAAGCCAGACTCGAATAATCTCAACCTGACTCGACTCTGCTTGATAACATCCCTAGGCCTTGTCTCGAACCGGTTGAACCAACACATTGACAAATTCTTTAAGACCGTACCCCTAACCAACATGCTATTTTAAAATATATAATTTTATACAACATTATTAGCAATAAATATGCTAAAATTACCAATTTCTTTAACATGTTTCGGGGGTGTCCATTTAGGACTTAATGAGTTCAACAACTTATTCGCACAACCAAAAGAGTATTTATTTGTGGCTTGTTTGAACAAATCTTGGCTTATTCACACAGATGGATATGACATATTGCCCACGTTCAGCCCAAAAATAGACACGCCTACCCTCCTATTTAATAAATAAAAAATTGAAAAACTTTTAACCCTTGTCGCTCTGCAAAATCTGAAAAATTCTTCACTGCTGGTTCGATTTCAATGCTAGGCAAGGATTTCCTTCACTCGATTTCTCCAAAGGTAATGATTCACTTCACAGGTTGTTCGATTTCTCCGGTTTGTTGATTTAATTCTTGATGTATTTGATTCCAATGTATACCCATCTTTCCAAGTCTTCAACATACTATTTACACCTTCAATATTTGTTGGATCATATTTGATTCAACATACTCACAAACTTTTCCATACAGAATTTAATAAAAATTTTAGTAAACAACCTCTTAGTATCAATGCTGTAACCAGTCAATGCCAAACCAATCTGACCAAGACCAGTCAAAGATGTATAATACTTTTTCGTGTTGTTAGAAGACATTCATGTAATTTGATTTTGATGAATGATCAAAGAAACTTTAGAAACGGTAAAGTAACTTGGTCATTCTCGTTACGATTAAAAAGAACAAAATATATTGTCACACGGTCTCATACCCGACATAAACCAAACATGGTATGTTTCACAATACTTGTAACAACAATTGGTCTTTAATACTCTAAATCCCCACCAAACACCATTCAATGACGAAACAAAATTGCCTAAGAGAAGAGAACAATCAAGAAGTCATTAACATACTGAAATGTAAAAAGACACACTAGAAGCTCTTTCAATTGCGTATATAATCATCTTTTTTCCAATCAGATCTTCAGAACTGCTTAACGGTACTGCAAAGATCAAACCATAACAACATTAATTCAGTGTCGAAGTCCATCTTCAAGTCCATAATGGTACAGAAAATACAGCAAACTTGTGTAACAAGGTAGTAAACCCAGTTCCAGCCAGCATTCGGGAACAAAGCAAAAGGAGAGGATGCACAGGGTAAAAGTTGAAATCACCAAAAGTAAAAAACGCAATGTGAAGAGTATGTCAACCAAACCAAATGCACTCGATATATCCATCCCGGAGGAGAGGGGAGATAAGATATATGTAGCTCCGACCTCTACCTCAAAAAGTAGTGCGATTGTTTTCATGAATACCCCCAGTTTGTGAAAAGTGTGAAAGAGAAGAAGACATGTATGTGAAGTTTTGAAAAACTGGATATAAGTAAACAATAGCAATACAAATAGTAATATCTGTCTCAGATACTTGTACAAAGTTTATTCATCTGACCATAGCCACATAAACGTAGTTGTCATCAAGTATTAAGTTCTTTATCGCCGTAGTTCAAAACATAAACAAAGAACTAGTAACGAGACAGATGTTGTAAGCTCTTTCCATTTGAAACTTCATATGTACCTTAATGAAACCAATTTCCTTGGCATTGCTGTGGAAACACTGCCTGCAGCACATAAGGCCGTATTTCCTGATCAAACCATGGGAATTCCCACAAACACGGCTGCAAAAGAAGTAAAGTCGATCAACAATCATTACTTAATAAATAGAGACACTAAGAATCAAGAAGGGGAGGGGGGGGGGGGGGGGGGGGCACATATTCATTTTGAGTTTTGACCCATGTGGAGGTGACCATTATCATAAAACATGAAAGCCAAAAGGAAGCAAAAATGAAAGAAGGAAAGGATCTCAATATCCTTATCATCAATGGCAAAAGATCATGAAGTATGTGCCTTTAATGATTATTGTGACCCTAATTCAGAAAAAGTGAATTTTGATATGATCTAGACATGAAAATAACGATGGAAAACTGTGGTATCCGTAGCAAATTGGTTCAATCCAACCCATTATCAAATTGCCTCAAAATCCTCAATATAGTGCCCAAAGCTGATCCTATCACAAACCCTAACGTGACTTGGTTTAGTCTTTTACAGACAAACCCCAACAAGTTCCATCCACTTCTTCAAGGAAATGATGAATTGCAATATAATCATCAAATATAATCAAAATAGTGGTAATCCAATATCAATTGCAACAAATTAAGCTTTTCTGCTTTTATCGTCTATGAATTCCCCAAAAACCCTAACGATAGACCATCGCTCTAGCTATGTTTGCATCTATGACTTATACATGTTCTCCAAATTGTCTTTCTTTTTCCCTTTACGAGTTCTTAATGCATATATATGCCATATTAGCCGCGACGTTCCATTAACACTTGAATGTTAAGCAATTGATTACACCATCATCAAACATCAAGCAAACAACATATGATTCCCAAATAAAAAAACGATTGCGAAAGTTGTGAAAGATTACCAGGTGCGTGAGCCAGGCCCATAGGTCTTAGGATGAGAATTCCATACGTTTGAGTGCCCCATTACCAGATCGATGTGAATGCTGCAATCGATTGAGTTTAGCGCCGGTGAGGAGGGTCCGCAAATGCAATGAAGGTGGGTGATATTTATATGGGAGGCTAATCAAAAACCCTAATCTTCCAAGGGTATAATTGACTTTTCACGTCGCGGTAATCGGGTCGGACGATTTTGACCCGAGTTTGGAGGGATTTATCAAAGGAAGCGATTGAACCGAATCAAGGAAACACAGAGACAAAAATGGGGGACAAAGAGAAAACGGTATGCGATTCTTCATCGTCTTCTCGTGATCAGAGCAAGGTTGAGGAGGAGGAAGAAGAAGCTTTGATGGCGTTATATGGATCCGAATCCGGGTGGGTGGAAGCTCGGATCCATTGCGATCATTTGGATACACTGTCTTCGGATCTAATCCACATTCCGACACCGGATACTCCCTGTAACAGGTTGGATTTAAACCCTAAACCTAATTATTTACCAGCAAATCGAGTCGGATTTCTTCGGAATTTAAGAATGTGTTTTTGATCAATCAAAGTTTTCTACGAAGGTTTTAGAATTCACTTCGATTGTGGAATTGAAATCAACCTCTTTTAATGAAGACAAAACATGATAACAGGGTTTAGAATTGGTATCGGAGCTTGTTTTCTTTGAAATTTGAATAACTGTGCCTTGATTTTGGCTCTAAGCAATGGAATTAGGGTTACAAACAAACCTAAAGCATTCAAACTCTAATTAAGCTCTGTTAGGACTATGATCATAGGAGAAATTTTGTCATTTCATTGATGAACTAGAGAAGTTGAATACTACTTCTTGATCTTATTCTGTCTTTGTAACTGGGCCACAATTCTACAGAGAAACAAAAGTAGTTTCATGTTCATTCTTCCAATCTGATCAACATTTGTAGCAATTTGACAAAGAAATACTGTGTTTTGCTTACTGAAAAGGTTATTGAATTTGTACATGGTGTAGATGTCATCATCCTGCTGAGAATTGGCTGTGTTTGAGCTGTAAAGATGTTCTATGTAGCCGTTTCATCAACAAGCATATGCTGGATCATTATCAACAACAAAATCATAGTGTGGCATTGAGTTTCAGGTATGATCAGAATCACATTCTTCATAGAACCCATTTGGGATCTTTCAAGATTCTAATAATCTTTATGCTTGTTTCTTGGTACAGTGATCTGTCGGTTTGGTGTTTTTCGTGCAATTCCTATTTGGATGCTCAAGTGATGCTTCCTCTTCGCCCAGTTTATGAAACTGCTTACATATTGAAGTTTGGTGAAGCCCCACCTGTTCGGACAGTTGAGTTCTTGCAAGTAGATGACTCCACATCAGGAAATTAGAAGTCTTTCTTCTTTCTGCAAGGATGGTGTTGAGTTCAAGCTCTTGAGACTCGAAGGTATGGCATGGAATCTGTGGTCTCATGTTGTTCAATCGATAGAACTCTTGGTTAGGTTAACTGAAAACGACTACGAAACTTAGGAATGAAACCGATGTGTTTTGATTAGGTTGCACTCTTTGATAGTAGTATCATTCTGTTAAGTGGTAGGGGGGTTTTTGTTTTGTTTTGAAACGAGAAGATGAAGTTCAAATGAGAAATATAAATGGTTCTTTTGGTTTTTAACAGAACCAAACCGCGTACATTGGTTTCGTTTTAGTTTGGTTCTACAAGATATTAACGACGACTATATGCTCTAATATGTTTGAACATTCATCTTTATACATAAAAGCATCGTCAATAAACTTCTTCCAAAGAGAAGCGAACGAGTTCTTCGCCCACCGTGACCATCCTCCAGGAGTGCGAGACGATTTTGTATTTTTGTTGATGCCGTCAACGCTTCTGAAGAGCATATTCAACAGTTATACTATTTTAGCAATTCTAGCATTAGGCGTGTTTGGGATTGCTTATTTGAAACAACTAATGCTTCTTTACAAAAGCACTTATCAACTTATTAGAAGTCAGAAGGGTTTAACTTTTTCAAAAACTCCTTATTATCGGTTTGGCACCGATATAAGTTGTTTATCCAAACACTCAAAAGTGTTTATTACCGGTGTCACACCGGAATAAGTCGTAAGTTATTTTTATAAGCAATCCCAAACACCCCCTATACTATATTATAAAGTATTTGAGAAAAATTCTTAAAAATCATCTTTTATGCATAAAGTATTGTTTATTGATGCATGTTATTTAAAAGTGAAGATTACAAGATTGTGTGTAAGTACAACTTATTAAAACTTCATGTTTGAATTTGTGTAACCAATTGTAGATATACATAATAAATACAAGATAAATATCTTATTTTAAATATAAAAACTTTAAAATATAATTGGGATAATCATTAAGTTGTAACAGAATATTTAATTATTATTTTTATAAAAAAATTAGATTATCAAACCGAAAATAAAAAAATTTGTTATTACATTTAAATTAAATTATAATAAAAAATTAAATTAAAAAATTTGTATAAAAAGGTGATAACTTTTAAATAATTAATTTATATTAACATCAAAATATTCTTTTTAAAATTTTTATGATATTTTCAAATTTATATTTTATTAAAAAACAAAAACATAATCGTTTTCTCAAAATCACATAAGAAATCTCAAAGTTTATCCAGTTGGGGGCATAGAAAGAAGACCTGAACTCGCTATCAAAGCCGATGTCCTAATAGCTTCGTTCAGGAGCGAACAACTAGTAGGCCAGAAAGACAGATCCGTAATCTAAGAAGGCAATTGCACTAATATTGGACTTCATAGGATTGTAACCATATTTACATTTAAATGGTCTTATTCTGCAGATCAAAGAGCGACTTAATTCCCCCTAGCCTGTCCACTGAAATAAGAAATAGAAAGTGCTCTCTCCTTGGCATAGTAGGCACCAAGTCGCAGCGACAACGCAATCATATTATAATATAGACAAAAACAAATAATAAAATGAAACATTAAAATCGTGATGTATCTCGCTGCTGAATAGCATATCCAACAGCTATACTATTTTAGCAAATTTAGCATTAACTATATTAATAAAATATTCAATACATTTAATAAAATGTTATTTATTTCATACATATGCAACTTCAATAACTTTAATTGATTGAATATAATTAAAATATTATTTCTCTCCCTTAAGTATATTTTTATAATGCATCTAAATACGTAGGTATTAGAATTATTAAAAATATTATTTAAGAAGGTTAAAATAAATAGATGTTACTTTTCACAATAAAACATGCCAATGACATTTTGAGATTTAAACTCTTTAAAGATTCAAAAGTTTACAAAGGAAAACTCTGCTCTACAACTTTATATGGCATCAACTCTAACCATACAAGCCCTCAAGCAACAAATGGTTCAAACTTCATGTGATTCTAATATTAAGATCGATGAAAATATTTAGGTAAAAAGTTGATTATCAGCAAATTCGATCGATCCCACACAACACACGTCTCTAAAGACACCAATATAAGAGGTTGCAGTTGAAGGTAATGTAGGGCCCGGGATAAAATCTAGGATCTGTCTTGCATTTGAACTCATGTCAATGAAAATATTGATCTATAAAACGATTTGGATTTGGGTTGTTTGTCGATCATCAAATCAACCATGAATTGTCAACTAAAATTTTAGTTTGATGAAATAAAACCAACAAACTCTGGTTGCCTTGTCATCAATGTTATATAGTGAGAGATAAAATCGAGATATCTAAAACTTGACCCTATCGCCATAATAAAGAACGAGTGAGAATCTTGGGAAAAAAAGAATCTGAGAACCACGAAATAAGAGATGAGAAAAATATCAAAATGGATGTCGAAGTTAAATATGATAAAGTGATCGTTCTTTGGTCTTTTTTGTAGTTCGCTGATTTTCCATTTGAAAATTAAGGAGAAATATTTGTAATTTTAAGAAAGGTGGTTATAACAACATTTTTGATCACATCCGTCGGATCGTCACAAGCCAATGGTTTGAATGGGTTTTCTGGTTATTTTTTTTCAAAGAATTCTCTCCCGATCTTATCCCTATATATATCATATATAGAGGCACATTCAAATGAAAACCATGCAATTCTTAGAAACCATGTAAACTAATTTCTATCAATAGAATTTTTTTATATAATTAAATTTAACCATTAAGGGTATATTTGTCATTTGCTCAGTTTCCTATTAAATATGGAAGTTGTTAATAAATATTAATTAAGGTAACATAATAAAAGAAATTTTATAAATGGTAACAT